GTAGGGATGGGAAAGAGATCTACTCCCTTATAAGGTTAAGTTAGATTCCCTAAATCAGCTCCCGCTTAGAAAAACTCGAGGAGAACATTGATTCTACCAGAAAACTGTAATTTTTATAACCCCTGAAATGGCAGTTTTTGGTTACAGTCAGGCATGTCGTCCTCTGCACTCCGACTCTGTAATAGTGGTAAATGCTCCGCAGCAAGGACTAAACATATCTTTTGTAATCCAAAATGGAATTGGCCCCAAAACTAAAAGTTAATTTAAATACTAAAGCTTCTATAAAAGAGTAGAAACATTAGAAATTATTATTAGTTTGAAATCGTATGTATTGCATAATCTTTACCAATCGAATCACGTCACGTGTTCGGGGGTACACGTTGGTAGCCTATTCATGTTTTAAATCGATTATTTGAAGAAAACACTTACCCTTTCCATAAAATTTAGCTTGTACTTGTTCACGATCAGTAGCTTCAAGCTACTAAATTCTCAGGTCCAAAATAATACTTGTCCAAATCAAATGATTTATTACATGACCAGCAAGACTTAGCTGAAATCATTCGTTTCAAGAAGGCCAATTGAATGCAAATTTTCACCCGAGACCGAAGTATTTTCTGAGTTAGGGGTTGAAAGAAGCGCGTTCCCATGCAAATGACGTGTTCGGGTAGGTTGCAAATGCGAGGTAACTGGGACATTACCTCCCCCACAGTAGAATATCTATGAGACTCAGACATGTTCTAGTGACGGGTGAGGATGTTGACAACCCCTCCCGCACACATACTCTCACAACCCATCGATTGCTGGCTTGTATTTTTAACCGTCGATTTATTTCCGAGTGGCAACTGTAGGCCAATTTGTTTATGGATGAAAGGATTGGTATTTTTATTGTATGGCTGTTTTAAGGGAATTTTCTCACACAGAGGAGGTATGTGCACAGCTTGAGGAACTCCTTCACGAACATAAAAACGATTGGCTATTCCCGGCGCTTGATCTCGGGGCCTGCAGGACAGATCCCGCGCTCTAACTGCTTAATCAACCGCACTCGGATTCCCATGAACAATAAAGCAATGACACCCTGGTAACTGGAAGCCATTAAGTATAAGATAAAACAATTACATTTTTACGATTGGATCAACGAAGTATAGATAGATTTTGAATATTGAATCGCAGGTCAATCTAAAAATAAATGCAGTACAAAGAGATTTGATCAGAACCAATAGGAATAGTAAACATTTGGTGGACTAAAGAGTTTTGCCATTAAAACAGTGGCTCGTTGAGTATAAAAACATGGCAGTAGTTTTTTATGGGTGAGCTGACAGTAGTAACAATCAATGGTGTCTCTGATGGGTGGATGATATTTTGAATTAGCTGAACCGGTAAACTTGGTCCACAGATTAATGTTTCTCCAATCAAGTGAAAACACTGTGAAAGCAATAGTTGAGATCTCTGTAATAGCATGGAAGTAAACGAACTGATATTTCAACTATGCCCAGAACTTTAAAGAAGGCCATGCACCTTTATAAAGCAAGATTGCGTGCTTATAAACGTAAAGTACGTGTCATCAGTTTGGATTCAAAATATTCGTAAGTAATGAGTGTGATTTTTTTTAAGACAGTTTGTTCGCAACCGCAACGTAGTCATGGTGGAAGGAAAAAACATACCCCCGCCGCAGCAAACCTGCCGTCTAAGCGAATTTCCATTTGGCTGAATTGATTTTCAATTGATCTATTTAAATAACATTAGGTTTAACGAGTACCTAGGTTTGCTGCTACAAGGAAACTAATAAAGTGTGTTTTTAGTAAAATATTGATAGCTTACTATAAAATAAATAAATTTGCCAAGTTTGATCAAAATATATCCATAAACAAGCAAACTACAACATTTTACAAAATTCTCCATAAGAATAACATGGAAATTTTAAATTTACCATTTTTTTAGTTTTCTCCGTAACCAATAACCGTACAAAAACACTTTGATATACTGAATTGTTTGTTTTTTTAAGCTCTTTAAGAAGGTTTAGAGAAAAATTGGGAAATTTTGTGTTTTGAGGGTCAAAAGTGAGAAAAACCAATTTTTACCCCATAAAACCCCCTATAAAACCCTGTTCCCATGGTCCGATCATGCTGGATCGCGAACTCATTCAAGTTTATCCCGCCTTACACCTTCAAGCCAAATTTCATCAAAATCGGATAAAAATTACTCAAGTTATCGTGTTCACGGACACATATATATATAAATCTATATATATATATACCTATATATATATATATATATACATATATAAAAATTTGAACGAATGGTGTTTTTGGCCTCTGGGGACATCAAAATGAAAAAGTAAATCGGTCCCGGGCCTAAGTTTTACCATGAGACCTACGGTAATAGCTACTTCCCTATAGGGAAATTCGCTAATAGGTGTGCTATTCCCACATATTCTGACGTCACTCGGATTGCAAACAAAAGATCATCTGATTGTAACTGTCAAATTAGTATGTATTTGTTTTTATTTGGTTGTTATTGTTTTTATAATAATAAAAACAATAACAACCAAATCAAAACAAACACATAATATACTAATTTGACAGTTACAATCAGGTGATCTTTTGTTTGCAATCCGAGTGACGTCAGAATATGTGGGAATAGCACACCTATGTTTTTTCCTTCCACCATGCAACGTAGTTATATTTTAGCCAGGTTTACTTTAAGACAATTTGCAGCATTAGTCTTGGTTAAAGAAAAGTTGTTTGCAAACTTTCAGATCACGCAACACTCTGCAACTCAGACTGTCCTCCAAGAAACCTGACTTTATTATTTCTTTCACAATTATATTATTTCGTAAGGATGGCAAGGATAGGACAGCACTATTGCTTTGTTTTATCGAGTTGGGTCGTCTGTTGAATGGGCAATAATTCTACTAAGTAATTGTTTGATTGCAATAGAGCAATTATTAGCATAATACACAATCTTAGTTTCCTTTGATATAAATAACTGATCAACGATTCTTATCGAGTAAATTGATCAATAACCACGCGTAAATGAAATATAATGAAATAAAATTAAAAATTAATTATTTTATCAGGCAAAATTAGGGCCACATGCCCTTTCTTACACTTAACCTCACATTCACATACATACGTAATATAAAGAAATAAGACATTTCTTGATCTAATATAAATCTACATATTGAACAAATAAAACAACAATTATCAAAATAATATAATAATTATGAATAGAAATGACAAAAAAAACACGTTCACACGCACCAGCAATCGCGCAAAGATACAGAAGCCCTAGGACACGCCAGCCGAGACCATTTGCTCAAAGTAGAGATTTTTTTTGTGTATTGTAAAGGGCATTGTCGAAGATTCGTTATATAGGTTACATTGGCCATTTTCAAAGTCTACGGCCAAGCAGGGAGAAAGCTGAATGCTTACTACGAATTATTCTTTAACAGTATGTCAACATCTGTGCAGAACTGACACAACCTTGCCCAAAGATATTTTAGGTTACATATCGTTGGTAATTAGAAGAACATTCTAAGTATTATCTGCATAATTTATATTTACCAACTCTGTTACAATAACACAGTTTTTCTCATCGAAAATCAATGGAGCTCAAAAAGCCATCAAACTCCACAAATACACAAGCATGCGCGATTAAATAGATATTTTAAAAGCCTATTACGTTGCATCTTGGCTTTGGCTAACACGCACCGCATACATTTAACATTTAGCACGGTTGGCAAACATGGTGTGAACATGCGAGCAACATGTGCGGCGAGGAAGGAGCCTTTGATTGGCCTTTCGCACGGAACTGCAGTTGGTGCTACGTAAGGATTTATTAGTCAATGGTACTGGGCTTGCAATTAGACATATACTAGCAGAGTACCCGTCCTTCGTACGGGGTTCGCGTGTAAGTATAAAATGCTTATTGCAGTTATACTCAAGCTTTGCGTTTGCAATGAGGAAGGACACAGTTTTATAAAATTTGCTTCTTTAAATTTACAGTATTCTATAGTATTACACATCTACCATAGCCATAATGATCTACCACTTCACCTAAACAATAGAAAAAAATGAATTATAAAATATCACAAATTATTCATGAAATTAAAAACATACATAACTGTACACAGTCCTACTTTGACAGTTCAGCTCAGTATCACATCAATGTTTTTTGTTGCTGCTTAGTTCAAATTAGCTGTTTTCATAAATGCAAAAAAAATATGGTGCTGCACCCTAATAACTTTTTATAACTATTTATAACCCCTTATAACTTTTTAATGCTTTTCCATATCATAGAACTAAAGTTTTTAGTTGAAACAGCTGACTCAATTCTTTAATTCTCTTTAAATATGAATACTCATAAGGTTAACATGGGGAACTACAGAGCCACTGGGGTGGAGCCCGAAAGTATTTTTGAGGTAAAAATATGCCTATATGTTAATCGGGAATGTAAGCTATCATCATTCCAAATTTCAGCCCAATCCGTCCAGTAGTGCGTGATTGAACTTCAAACAAACAAACAAACACACAAACTTTCACTATAATATTAGTAAGATAAGATAATAGTTAGGAAAAATTACTTGTTAAAGAATGATGTTACTATTTTAGGACAAGCACAGAGTAGAAACGATACAGTAAAATTATATTATTTTTCTTTCGAATGATGGAAAGCTGGGGTATGCTGAGTGGTTAGTGCTCCCTAGCCATCAGAAAGTCGCTGGTTCAACGGCTCGAAACTGCATCCTGTTCTTTGTGATCATTGATCTTTTAAAAATTACCTTAGCTAACGAAAAATCATCTTACCTCATTCTTTACTCGCCTTGCATTCACACCCAAGCTTAAAATGCGTAACAAAATGTGCGTCGCTGTGAATTGGAAATTTATAAAATCAACTTGGGCTGTTCTATAGAGGGAATGTTGTGTTTTATTTTAATCTTAAACAATTAGTGTACTCTAGTTGTTTTCCCAAATTGTAAAATGATCAATTCACATTCGTACCTGAAGTCATAGATTCCTCCAAACACCTTCTTCATACATTTCAGGTACCTCGACAGATTGTCCTTGCGGCAGATACATGAAGCCTTGGGTATGTGGTTCGTGAACTTCAAACAAAACACAAACCTATATTTGAATGCACCATTTTAATTTCATGTTCGAATATTTCACCAAAAAATATTAGTGTTTGCATAAAGATAATAGGCAGTAAATTTATACAGTGTAGATCTAAGGTATATCGTAACAAAACTGAAGTTATTTCTTATGGCTTAATATAATTAACATGATGTTCAAACTTGAAAATGATCACGACAAAATTACCTGCCACGGTTTGAGCTGCTTGTAGTGATTGAGCGAGAATCCTCCAGTTCTCCACCATAGATTCCAGTTGTCCTTGATGGACGACCCCTCGTTGTATTCTCTCCATCCCCGCTCTAGGCATACCTAAAGTAGAGAGAAACTGAGAAAATAACATATAGAAGAGAGAAACAAATTGGGTAAAAGAGTGTTTGTTAAGCGAGAATCCTCCAGTTCTCCACCAGAGATTCCAGTTGTCCTTGATGGATGACCCCTCGTTGTATTCTCTCTAGCCCCGCTCTAGGCATACCTAAAGTAGAGAGAAACTGAGAAAAATAACGTATAGAAGAGAGAAACAAATTGGGTAAAAGAGAGTGTTTGTTAAGCGAGAATCCTCCAGCTCTCCACCAGAGATTCCAAGTTGTCCTTGATGGCAAACTAAAACCACCATGGTTGTTGATGGTTTGTGCTAGGGTAGAGAAAAACTTAAAAAATAACCTGGAGTTAAGTGAGAATCCCCCGATTCTTAAGTACCGATTCGAGTAAGTAAACCCACCCCAGGTTTGCTGACCTGGAGGCGAGAAACGTAGAGAAATTGACCTACTGAAAATAGAAACAGAGAGAAAATTACAAGAAAGTTTAGTGAGAATCCTTCATTTCTTTACTGGAAAAAATAGAGGGAAAAGTATAAGAGCGAGTTTATTGAGAAGGGACTCTCTACCATGAGATCGCCTTTCTACATATATTACAAATAAAAGACAGAGAGAAGCATACGAGGCACACAAAAAGAAACATATACCTACATTAAATAATGACAACTTGAACTATACCAGTAAGACATTTCTAAAAGTATTACATTTCAAACTCAAATCTACAATAGGAAAGTATTTCCAGAATAGTGTTCAATCAATTTGTTAGCCATTTCAAAACCATTTGATTTGATTGTCACCATAAATCTCCCCGACAATGATTTGACCGTCGAGAAACTCGCAAACAAATTGTATTAATAGAGTAAAAATGGCGATGCCGCGGGAATAGTTGAAAGGATGATAAATAATTGTGGGAAAACACGAAGGGAGGAAATACGGCGCAACCAAAGGCCATAAACAACTATTAATCGTTTTCCACTGACGTCGAAAACTTATTTAGTCTACGCACGCCACAAACAATTAACAAGATCTAAACTGGTAGAATTATTGGCAAGGAGACAGCGTATAAAATTAATAGAGACAATAATGGCAGTTTGGCATTGGAAGTTTAACAAGGGCAATAAGCATAGTTGAGGGGGGATGCGTAGCGGCAATAAGAAATAGAGAGTTAAGGGGACCAGGCACACGCACGCTGAACTGGGTCGTCGGAGGGTAATATGTTTGTGTAACGGGTCATTGGGGTAGTTAGGAAATGTAGGTATACAATTAAGACATACATTAGGGGACCAGGTGGTCCATGTTTAGTTCAAAAACATTTCTTAGAAAGTTTGGTGTTCTCTTTTAACCTTGCACTTGCTCATCCACATTCGCTTCATGCCTGCTTCAAAAATATCAAGCAAATCGAGAGTGAACCGAACAGCTCAAGAATTAACACTGTACTGATCAGTAGCTTGTAGCTTGTTAGTGGTGGCACAGGAGCACTCTACATCATTCCTTGAATTCGCAGTCCATCGCGCTAGTCACCTATAGAGATATATAGTCACTACCAGAGTCATACCACTCCCTTCTATGATTATACACTACATAAAATCGTTCATCTGTCTAGCGGTTGCCACAAAAACATTGTAATGGTACTAAAATGTTAACAACAAATACGATGCACTGGGTTTTATTCTGGCTTCAATTATGAAAATTCCCACTTAATATGTTGTAAAAATTTGAAATACGATAAGAATAATTTCTCAGTTGTATCTCCTAATAATTGTCAACATTCACTTACCTTTTAAAAACTGCATAATCTGTCTGTTTTGCAAGCATATAGCTGCGTTTCAACGATATTTTTTCTGAAGACCAGGCAAGTCGTCATATGTATTTTTACATATCCAACAAAATCTAATTGACAAAAAAACTCTGGTTGTACAGTGGAATGAGAGTTAGATTGATTACGATTTTATTTTGATGTGCATAAATACGACATTAAATAATACATTCAGAATGGATGCAAAACCTATTTGATTACAGCAATTTTATTCTTGCATGTTATCCACGAGTCAAAACATACCGGTACATTAATTTTGTTTTAACTTCCGTGATACAAATAATCCATTCCTATCGAAATTCAGTTCTGGTCTGGATATAGTGTATGATTTTATTACACTACTAGCTGTTTGCCCGTTCTACGTACGGGAATCTAGTAGTAAGTTAAAACCTTATATTCAGAACAGGAATTGGTTTGCATATTTAGTGTGCATTTTTCCAGATATGATGGCAAAACTATAACTGTTTAGGAATACATATAAACCTTCTCAAATACAATGTCTGACAGTTTCAAAGCCAAAACGAATGCTTCACAATTAAATGTCACCCGATCGTGTTAGTCCATATTTTATATCAAACGATGAAAGGAATTGCTTTACAGTATAGATCTATGAGGCATAGCCCTAAGGTAGGCCTGTAATAAAGTTACTTTTCACACTGGTTAAAAGTAGTTAAAACACTACCTCTACCTCACTACTGCACACTTTATTCGGGTTGAAATTTTTATTAACAATGGTGCTCTTGTCTTTTCCATGAAAAATAAGGAGATTAATGCGTTACCAACAGACATACATACACAAATACAGAATTGAGTCCACACAACATTTTTGAGTCCAGACAGAAAACGCTAAAAATTATACAGTAAGACATCAATTAAATTTAATAAGCAATAAGGTGCAGTGTTTATAAATAAATAGTGAAAATAGTTATGTGTTTGTATGTAAAAATTATTCTTACTGCTACCACCGGTTCTAAGGAAAAGTAGCAGTACCAAAAACCAACGTTTACATTTGAGAAAAGAACTGTAGTACTTACGACTAATTCAAACTGTCCTTCTAATCAAACTGTATTATAGGTGTTAATTAATCTGTTGGCAAATATACAAATAAATAAATACTCAGGCCACAAAACATGTAACATGTAACGTTAACACCGTAAAGCTTTGAACACTTACTATGGTTTGCTAAAAAAAACTTTCACTTGATGTGGTGCAGTACAGAAGTAATTATTCTTCTTTGGTTTTAAATTTTTTTTAAGTTTTAGAAAATCCAAGTTATTTCTTATTAGTAGCATTATTTGTAAGCAGCTTTTAATGTTAACATATTAATGGCAGTTTGAAGAAACCACCTTTATCCAAACAAAGGTTTCTTATTTAAAAGATTACGTAATCTCTAAACGATAATCGGTACTACTGCACACTTTATTCGGGTTGGCATTTTTATTAACAATGGTGCTCTTGTCTTTTCCACGAAAAATAAGGAGAAATAAGGAGAAAATATCTAGCAAACATTCGGAGGAAATGTGACAAAAAACGCACAAATCTGGGGTTTTGTACGTTTGTAGTTTTACTTCCTAAGTAGGAAAAGTACCGATATCGTTGTCGAAATGTAAGTAAGTAGAAAGCAAAAGTGACACATTGGAAAAGCGAGTTTAGCTACATCTGTTAAGTTAAACCTCCGTTACGGTATGATCACAGCGAAATCAGAAATATCTTCCAAGATCGCAGCAACATCCACGATCACCCACTGCAGTTGTGATTTTTTACTTTGCACTTTACACAACTGTCCTTCAAGCGCCGTCAATGAGTGGAAACCTTTGTAAGCTATGGTATTGGTGACGATGATTAAAAAAATATAAGTTTCCTTGCACTGATACAACACTGATTTACGGTATTTTCCCCGGTTATCAAAACTCAAGAACAATCATTGCACTTGCGATTAATTAAACCGGTTAAGTAAGGCACAACGTTTTTAATCTCACTTGGTTTGGATGTGCTGACTAAACTTGATCGGAAATGGTTGCGGTATTTGTAAACAACTTTTAATGTAAACATATCAGTGACAGCTAGAAGTGAGAACTAATCCAAACAGCTGATCGTTGTTTCATAAAATGTAATAGTAAAAATTGGGAGAAAATTTGACAAAAATCTAACAAAATTGGGTTTTTGGTGGTTCGTTATTTTGTTTTCAAAGAAGCGAGGCCATGTTTTTATAGCCAAAGACACTCTCACCAATCCAGTAAATACAGAAAAATTATTAGAACCTTGATCGGTTCTCTAGTTTTCTAGGAGTAGGCCGCGTAAAATGACATTTTGGCGTTACAGACGCAACCACAGAATGGACAAACAGACAGACAAACAGACAGAAATTGAGATAAGACTCGTTTCGGCTTTCTTAGGCTATGAAACGTAAAAATAACCAAAAACTGCATGATTCTAAGCAATGTACAGACAAAACTGTAATTTTATTTATATAGATTTGCATTACTTGGCAATTTATTTGTGATTGATAAGATTTACAATACACGTTGAGTAATTTCAGTGTAACCAATAATGTTCAAATAAATCTTGTTTATGGTTCGATAACCCGAATTCCGCTCTAATTCACCTGTAAGCTTTTAATCAAGGGTTTAGGCAAGGCCGCACTAGATATACTATATATCTAGTGCGGCCTTGGTTTAGGCCTATACCATTAACTTTATATCTTTATATCCAAAAGTACATGTGGTACATACCCACCTTAAAGGCCTATACACTTGTCGTAACAAACCAAGGCCCCACTACACGTAGTCTTCTTGGAAATATGTCATTAGTGGATTTTTATTTATTCAACCGGACGATTTGATTGGCACTCATGTCTTCACACTATAACTGCAGTTGTTAGTGTTGGTTTTGTTTGGATACAGACCACAGTTTTGTTTTACCTACTCCAGGCCTGTTTGTTTGATAGTTTTATTCAATCTACAATACCACGTACTCAATAAAATGTTTAAAAGAAAGCCGCCAAGGTTGATTGTTGATTATGGCGTGGAGACAAGCCAGTTAAGTGGCGACACTTGAATCAATGAACACTTCGTGCCAGCGGGTATTATCGCTAATGCTGTCCAAACTAATTTAAACTAAGGAAACGTGTCCTTTCTGATTCCGAGCTTGCTAACTGTTCAGGTACACAATCATTATGT